CATTATTAATAAGTTTTATAAGGTCCTTTTAGAAATTTCAAACCTGGACAAATAAGAAGTTTTGAATCACCAAACCCCATCAACCAAAGTTCACGAATCTTGGCAAAAAACAGCTTTCATCATTGTCTCAAGCTTTAGTGAATCTGTTCATGTTTYAAAGTTRTACCAAAATCATACAAAGGTAAAGCAATAAAACTTTTTCTACGGTCTAGCATACACGGACACTACTTGCTGGACTACTTGATACCTACTACTTTGAGTAATGAACTCCTAATTGTCATATATCTTGATAGGGATTTTCAAGTAACAAAAATATATGAGAAAATTTCAGTGTTTATATAATAAAATCAGAACTATATGGTAATTTTTAATGCAGAGCGAGCAAGTTAAATAAAGACAAATTTCGCCCGTCGTTARTTAAGAGTAACCTTAAAAAGACTGATTGAGATTCCAGCAGGCTTAGCTATAATATCTGTCTTACCAAAGAGCTATTGTTCAGTTTTCATTAGTTTGTCGTAAACAAGGAGAATCGTTTTGACATGTATTGTTAAGTGGTTTTACAGTGGTAAGCTTTTTTATTGTTCTCGATTACCAAGCGAAAACTTACTTTGCTTGAAAGTGTATTAGTCACTGAAAGGTAAACGGTCCTTGTAGAAAGTTTTCCTGTTCACCCCTGTCCAAACTAGAAGTCATTGAATCACCGAACACCATTAAGCAAAGTTGATTGACCACAAAAGTATAACTTATATACCGTCACGGACAGAGCTCAAAGATTTTGCACTTGATTTTCAAAATCGCCATTGCCCATTAAGGTACGTTTTTATCCTCTTAAAAACTTACAAGTTTTAAGGTCATGAATCTTAAGCTTAAGTAAATCTGTTCGTTTTTAAAGTTGTACTAAAATTATACAGTGATGCATGTAATGCCAGGTTTTGACGTCCTGGCAAGCATGGACACTGCTTGGCATAATGACCTAGTCATTAATTTTCTCTWTATTTGTTTATCATTTAGTTGCTATCACAAATGTTGTATGTGAAGTATGGTGAAGACCCTAAGCGCCTTGAGGGTAAGAAGTGAATATAACATCGGGAGAATAAGTAGGTCCTTGTTTTTGGGTTATAAACTAAACCGCGATTCAGTTTCCCTTGAACTATGTTTTTTTGTTGTTGCTGTAAATGAACACATATTTAAATATTATTCGGAAGATACAGTATACAAAGGATATCGAGTTTGATCATTAGCTTCTTCGATTAGACTCGACTATAATGCAAGACAAACCAATCTTATTGGTTAGAGAAAACGCAGGAAAACCATGAAATAAAAATCAAACTAAATACTAACAAATAGCGGCTATTTAGAGACAAATTGTCAGTATCAATGAACCAGAACGCAATAAAGATGAATGAAAAATGGTCCCMTGTGGATTCATCTTCATTCTTTTCAGGTTCACTKATACTGACAAATTGCCTCTAAATAGCCGCTTCTAGTTAGTATTTAGTTTGATTTTATTTCATCCTTTTACTGTGTTTGCTCTATTTAATATTGCACAATTGTAAGTCATGTTTGAACATGACGCCATCGGTCGTTAAAAAACAAAATATTTAAACTAACATTTTATTAGTAATATGTGCTAAASCATCACAAAATCATTCACATGAATTTTCGTGGAATATGTATGCTTTCAGTGAATATGGCAATCMYAAAGTGTCGCACTGAATTTTAATACAAAATTAGAAAATTGTAAAGACGTCATATGCATATCATACTTTTAATTTATTTGTAAGAATATGGCAACATAAAATTCAAAAGCTTCTTTACAATGTCAAAAAACATCTATCTAGAGTTTATAGACTTAAAATTCTTCCTGGGAATTTTAATAACYCTTTTATGCAAATGACTTTTGTTGTTGTTTATGTCTTTATATTTTCTTGAACTATTTGGCGCTAGATAAAACAAAGTATCTCAAGCAAATTCTGAGATGTTTAAAGTATATATTTAGGCTTTGAAAACTTCGATTTGCTATACGTTAATATCCGTTTTGTTTGTGTAATAAAGTTGGACACCATACATTCTAAAAGTACGCGACTCGTGTTCGATGGACTGTAACTGTTAATCACTTCCTAACACACAGAGTCATTTGTGCAAAACGACAATTTAACATCGTAAAAGAAGTGAATTAACTTAATGACGTTTCGGACTTTACGTTAATAATTTAGTTCATGMACCTTACTGTTTTACGGTTAAAATTTATCTTATTGCACAACTGTTCCTTTAGAAACATCGACGCACCTTGTACTAYCTTACTGCTAGTTTCCACCATCCTAACACAAAGAGTTCCGACTTGATTGAAATAAGAAGTTAGAAGATTACACTCTAACCAATGAGAATCCAAATTTCACGGTGTTAAAGCTAATTAGCATAAGACCTTGAAAAACAAAATTATCACAAAAGAAAGCCAAACTACAAATTTAAGGACAGCTTTTAAAAAAACAAAACCTAAACTAGAAATTCCAATTTTGTCTTCATAGAATAACAAAGACACCAATTTATTGTTGTGAAGAACTACTAAGCGTAAGTATTCTTAAAATATTGCTCCTTGTCCAATGTTATAGTAGTATTCAGAAACAAACTTGAAAGAAAACTTGACAAAGAATTGTTTTATCGGTTTTTAAGGAAAGTAATTTAACTTTGATTAGTTCCCACATGATTTTTTTAAGGAAAGTAATTTAACTTTGATTAGTTCCCACATGATTTTCAGATGTCCAGCTGTTCCAAGAATATACACGTCTGTTGGATCTAAAAGCTGAAGACTGCTCGTTGTTATGGCCGATTTGGAAACTGGTGAGATCGTCAGCCTAAAAAAGCAATTGGCTTTTGCCATTGAACAAGGAGATRAAGCAGCTCAAGGTGCTGCTCAGGACAGTTTAGGAGCAGCCTACATTGCATTAGGCAAGAATCATGACGCAATTAAATGCTACAAGCAGGCTGCTAGAATTGCCGTTGAGTTAGGCACAACTCATGCAGAAGCTAGAGCATATTACAACATAGGAAATGCTAASAGCTCGCTAGGTGTCAAAGAAGAGGCAATCGAATATTATGAGAAATGTCTGATAGCGTTGAAYGGGAAAGGAGACCCACATTTTATAATAGGCCAATATCAAGGGWCGGGTTCCTATCTTGAAAAATGTCACGGYTTCGCYATTCCTACCAACGATAGCGATTTAGTGATCAAGTTACGGAATATTGCAAATGTCAAAAACAAATTAGGAAAATATCAGGAAGCACTGGAATGCTACAGCATGTGTCTAGAATACGCTGTAAAAAGTGAAGATACGGAAGCCCAAAAAGCGCTATATTGTGACATAGGCGTTATTGCCTATGRGGCGAGGGATTATCACGAATCAGTGAGATATTTCAAAAAATATCTTGAAATGACAGAAATTTCTGACGATAAGAGAGGTGAAGTTGTAGCTTATAGTAACTTAGGAAACGCGMACTTTTGCCTTGAAGATCATGGTAAAGCAATTAGATGCCATGAAAAATGTTTAAGCATAGCAACAGAATTAGATTACAAGTATGGGCAACAATGTGCTTATCAAAACATGGGACGTGCCTATGATGGATTAGGCCGACATGAGARGGCAATCGAGTTSTACAACAAATGYTTAGCTATTGCCAGCGATATTGGCGACAAGGGAGCGGAAAMCAAGGYGTATRCAAACCTTGGMGATGCTTRTTCTGCTTTAGGAAATTACCAAAAAGCAATAGAGTACCAMAAAAAGAGCCTTGATGCGTCTACGGCTACTGGAGATAGAAATGCCGCAATGGTTTATTGCGAAAAGTTAGCATTTGCCTATTTAATGTCAGGAGATTTAAGAAATGCAATAAAATACTATGAAGGGTCGTTTCTTTRTGCAGAGAAGGTAGACAAAGAACWACAGAGAAGAGCGTGCATTGCATTGGTRTCTTTAAACGTTAAAGTTGGTGAATATCAGGARGCYATTGAAAAGTGTCGAAATTATATACAAATTGTTGAAGGGCTTGATAGGCGAGAAGAGGCAAATGGYTATTGCAATTTAGGAAATTTGCATTTGATGACAGGGCAGTATTCTGAGGCATTCGATGGTTATCAAACATGCATAGAAATTGCTTTAGAAATCAAGGATATGTCTTTAGTKTCAAYAGCGCTCTGTAACTTAGGAAATGTGGATCAGGCAATAGGAAATAGCGCRGATGCCAGTGAAAATCACAAAAGGAGTGTAGACATTGCGATTGAAAGTGGAGACAGCGAGGCTGAAGYACGATCATACTGCATTCTAGGACATCTTAGTTATCAATCAAAACTCTATAATGAATCAATAGGGTATCTTGAAAAATATTTGCAAGCTGTTTTAGAAAAAAGTGATAAAAAGGGAGAATTATTGGCTTGTAGAAACTTAGGAAGTGCTTATTTAGCATTAGGCAAACATCAAGAAGCTATTAAYTTTCACGAGAGAAGCGYGGAGATAGCTGTTGAGCTGGGTGACAAACAAGGAGAAGGAAGAGCCTATGAATACATAGGTTATTCTTATGCATCATCGAAAGACTACTTGAAGTCGATTGAAAATCACGAGAAACAGCTTGAAATTGCTAAAGACGTTGGAGACAAAATAGGTGCTGGAAAAGCCAATAATAGMTTGGGCGGTGCTTATTTTGCTCGATATCTCATGGAAAAAGACCAGGATGTCTTTGTACAGAAAGCCATTAGCTACCTAGAAGAAAGCATTTCATSTTATGATGAAGCGTTTGAAAACATTTCAGAGTATGATCATTGCAGGATATTCATGGAAGATCAGTTCCTCAGATCATACGAAATGCTTTTGGAAGTCTTAATCGAAATGGGAAAAAATGAAACAGCTCTGATCGTCTCGGAACGCAAAAGGGGTAGAGCCTTGGAAGACATTTTGGCTTTGAAGCATAAAGCGCAGAAAACATTKCCGTTTCTCCATAACTTTATARCATCAAACAGCAATAGAAAACTTTTGTTRAGCGAATCGTGCATCTTATTTTTCTCCCAAGATCGTCTAAGGTTAACGAGACATGATAATGTGTTAACTGTCGGCAGTTGGATCATAGACTTAAACAATGAAGTGTCATTCCATTGCTATGATTTTTCTGAAGATGGATCTATTGATGAAGACATCCTTAACAGCGAGAATATACTTCAACGTCTTGTCAATAAAAGTTACGTTTCGATGTCTGCCAGAGGAGAAGGTGCCTGTGAGAATCGATCTTTCAGCATCAATGATGATTCAACCGYCCAAAGCTCACTTGAAGYRCAATCKACTTGCGCTAGGAGTGGYAAGAGAAACACTGTCGACGAAGAATTTGACGGAGACTATTTAGAGATTCTCTTCGATGCACTGATTACTCCAATTAARCACATGTTGACACAAGATGAGATTATCATCGTCCCTGACGGACCTTTGTTCAAAGTCCCTTTCGCAGCTTTACGAGATCGTGAGGAAGGCAAATATTGGTCAGAGACAAAACGAATTCGAATTGTTCCCTCYTTGACAACATTAACAATTCTKAAAGATTCTYCAGCGGACTTAAACAGTTTRAGGGGTGCACTCATCATCGGTGATCCTGACGTTGAAGGAAAACGAATGTTGAAAGACACTRCAATATCTTTCTCTGCATTGCCAAATGCTCGACGCGAAGCTGAAGAGATAGCTAAAGTCCTTGGCGTGAATGCACTAGTAGGAGAACAAGCAACCAAGCAAGTTGTCATGGAACGGCTCAGGGAAGGTGTTGCTGTCATCCACTTTGCAGCACATGGATGTGCAGACAGTGGAGAAATAGTACTCAGTCCACCCGAATCTCTAAAGGGAACACAAACCATACCTTCAGAGGACGACTATCTGTTAAAAATCAATGAAGTGCAATTTATTGGAATACGAGCAAGACTTGTTGTGCTGAGCTGCTGCCATAGCGGTCGTGGGGAGATCAAATCAGAGGGTGTGATTGGAATGAGTCGAGCCTTTCTTGCTGCCGGCGCCCTAGCTGTTGTGGCTTCTTTGTGGGCTGTAGATGACTTAGGAACAAAAGTGTTCATGCAGAAGTTCTACGAACAATTGAATCAAGGGAAGAGTGCTAGTAGAAGTCTCCAGCAAGCCAAGAATGAAATGCTAGCGGATAGAAGTTCAAGGTACACAGAACCGAGTTTTTGGGCTCCTTTTGTTCTTATTGGTGAAGATGTGACTATAAAAGTGAAAAACTCTTAATTTTGACTTCCAYGAATACATCAGTTGCAGCCGATTATTGGTTATGATATCAAATATAACACATTTATGAGAATTTGTTTTACTTTATATGTCTTTWTGAACTAAGTATAAAAGGTTTGAAAGGTTTATAGTTATCTTACCCAGAATCACTGTGTAGATAGCGTTACCATATAGTATAGTGTATAATATATAATATATAATATAGTGCCATAATTAGCAATTAGACTACGAGGTCTAGTGAAGTAAGAGTTGATAGTCCATGAAGCCATAATCGGCGCGTAGTACACGAGGCCTAGTCGTCTCGTTGTTTTAGTATCCATCAAACTATATGGCAAATTCAGCTWGAGACCATAAAGAACAATTTTAATCGACATTTTTTTCGATTAGTATTCCCTTCATTCGATGACACTATATACTTTGTCTATTATGAATCCAATATAGTTCAATAGCCAATAAGAATGCTTGATTTGTGATAGCCCATAGTTTGATGGATACTAATAATTGTAATTGTGGTAATAGCTTTTAGCTTTTTGAAGCTTTTACGTCATGTAACGTATTCACAATGCATTGTAGGATATGTGTGACGCAGAACATGGCGGATTTCTTTTGTTTACTCAAGAAACTAATCCTACACTGAATTCAAAAATCGAGTAGTGACGTAAAAGGTTCAGAGGTCTATTTTTTATTGCAGTCGTTTGCAACAATTGTGCTTGCTARAATATACTATTTTGGGGGTTTTTCTATTGTTTCTTTTCATTTTTATTATGATCAAATTATGGTTTGTTTGGGAGTTCGATCGTGTTCTGTAYAAATGTAGGGCTATTATTTATCTATTATTGAAGACTTGATTATTCTACATATTGGTGTATTCATGCAATGCTTGGCAAGCAGAATTTCTTGAAATGACTGTAACAACGAACAAAAATGAAAATGTAACAAAATGTTACAACAGAAAGAGAAAACATAATTCTTTTTCTCATTTTATTCGATTATTCGATTTTTATATATATTTTTAAGTGAGAAACAACTCATGACTATTAAAGTGTATATTGAAGTGTAATAGAGGCCATGTTGGTCTACAAGGATGGGTAGGTGACCATAATTGTTTTGCAGTTTTGCAGTATATACAAAAGACGTACATGGCTTCCAAATGTAATAAGGAGCTGTGGAATAAGCAATAATTATCATGAGGGGAGGGAGAGTAATTAGGCAGTACTCCCTCCAAAGCATAACGAAATAGCTCTTATCCCCCCTGCTATACTAGAGATAACGTCGGTGGTTTTATTGGTGGTTTAAATRGTGCCCCAGTTGTCATGGTTTCACCGATGGCAACATTTTCAATATTATTATAAGTAATAGCATGGCTCTGAGGGAGATYAGGGATTAAATGTCCCCGAAGCCGAGGGCAGATAAGTTGAAGTCCCGACGGCCGCAGGCCGGAGGGACTTTTACTTATCTGCCCGAGGCTGAGGGACATTTAATCCCTAATCTCCCGAGGAAGCCATGCTATTACTTTGTAATACCATGATTTCCGAGGAAAAAAATTGAAGTTGAACTTGAGCGAATTTGAATTCTTGTTTTGTTGTATGCTCCAATGTCTTCAATCAGAAGTAATATAAACATTGCAACAAACAATTAGCATGAATTGGAATGTGACATGAAAAGAATTGATACGCACTGTTATAAGAGTATCACTCGCCGAACAACAGCACAAAATGATATTGATAATCCGACCATTGTTACTGATTTCCCACAACGAACTTTGTTTGAAATTGCTTTTCAGTTCTATTCAATGCTGAAGTTAACGAACCTTAACTTCAACCCTGAAAAGTAGTTTTTATATTTGCAAGTATAATGCCAAGAAGCTTATCAACTATTATCAAACATTAAAATTCGTCAAGTGCACATGCTCAGCGGTACGAAGTAGAGACTCGGCCCTTTGCAGCTGGTGGTCACGTGACCACATTTACCTTAAATCAATCAGATATCAAAAAATAATGAAAAAAAATAAAAAAAAAATAATGAAATTCCAGAAATGGAAAGAGGGGATCAAAACAAGTAAGAAGACATAGTTTCGAGACTCTCCCGTTTTATTTTCCCATAAGTTTTTTTTTTTTTACAGTTATGGTTCCTTTAAATTCAAGATAAAGAAAAGAATAAATTTTAAATAAAACTTCAGGACCATTTTCATTTTGCCCTCCCACTATCTTGGCATTAATTTAAAGAAGCCCCCCACCCCACTCCTGGTTATTGTAATTATTGCACAGTCCCTAAGATACTCGTGTCTCGGTGAAATTGGGTGGTTTCGTTTTATGTGGTGGGGGAGGCTGGGCTCAATAAGAAGTCAGGTCAACTTGGTCGACAAGTTATATATAAGAAGGCCTTCAGTTTGTATCCCAGAAAAAGAAAATTTACAGACCAACAATTGTGTCATCTTTTATATCTCACCTCTACACCACAAAGGACACAGATGGGTGTAGYAGTTTTTGATATCAAAGGTGATAAATTTCTAAAAAAKAWATTAAGTCTAAAAACAAAAGAATTGAGAGAAAATTAGAGCATGCTGAGGTRTAATTAAAAAAGGTGCAAGCAAAAGCCTTATCTTATCTTGTAAAACTTATGAATAATTAATGAGGAAAACACAATAGAAATCACAACCGTGAAGAGTGTTGTAATATTTGATACAAAACTGTCTTGATTTGCTTCAAATCTAGTTTTCTCAGCCAAATTCAATTTTATCTTAAGTTTTTAGTTGATTCTGAATGTATACACCTAAACGTTTCACGAATAAATTAACAACACAAATTAATATGAATTACAGTGAGATAAATGACGAAAAATGACAATTCAGGTAACGGCTGAGTTTAGTCGCTATTAAGCATGCGCAATTTACTGCAACACAGAACATTTTGAATAATTATCCATCCCACATGGAAAAGCAAGCCATCTGTTTCATAAGAGAGTTCTGTTATCTGTCTTTGATTGCTTCAAAACCTAGTGAAGGTCTATGATGCGATACTTAAACTGAGACCTTTGCTAGTGTTGGGTTGTCTCAATGGTGACGACCGTGTTGTGAATCTGATACAACACGGTCTGTATCAAATGAAGCCTTGGCTGCTATTTGTAAGTTGGTACACGGGCTTTAGGAGACTCCTTGTTTTGAGTYGTGAAAAATTCTTGTTCATGGRCAAAATAACACGCTATTTACTTACTTGAGTCTTTTATTGCTAGTCAAATAAGCCTGTGATGAATAAACATSAAWTTATGATCTGTTTAGTCCATTTCTTTCCATATTTATAGTAGTAACAGTTACGACTACCCGTGCGCCATTTTGAATACACTGGTATTCACCAGTCCTACGTCCGATCAAATGGTGTGGTTCCCTTGTATAGCTAAAACTCAACCGCCAAACACAAAAACCCCCAGGGTAGGCCCTAAGTGCCAATCCATCGTACAATCCTCAATGCTAGGTGATGACGTGTCATCACCATATTAGGAAACTACCCTGTCCCCTTCACCCATATAAGGAAACTACCCTGTCCCCTTGAATCCAATACAAATCCGTTTGTTTTGAGAAGTTTTCCGTAAGGATTACAGCTATAAAAATAGTCAAGTGAATAGTTACAAGAYAATTTTKCTGATAACTTTGCAAGCGAAGAATAATGAATKGTGCTTTTGGGCGGATAGCATGTAAATACAACTTAAACTGATCGATTTATCKTWAATTTTAAAAATGTGAATTTCGTTATTTACGTACAGATTAATTTCGAACTTCGTTTATTGGATATTCTTTTACAGAGATGAAGAATTTATTAGTAAGCATTTTACTTGTGACCCCGATGCGAGAGGGACAAAATTTTAGATGACGACACAGCTTGCATCAAGCTTTGGACGATTCAAAATGATCACGTGGTACAAAATCCATCGATCCCATTGGCAGAGAGGTGGGCAACGCCCACTTAGGGMCTACCCTGGGGGTTTTTATGTTTGGCGGTTAAGTTAGAGAATCGCGTAGGACTGGTGAATACCAGTATATAATTCAAAATGGCGCGAGGTTAGTCGTAACTGTTACTATTAATATGGAAAGAAATGGACTCAGCAGACCATAAATTCATGTTWATTCATCACAAGCTTATTTGACTAGCAATTAAAGAMTCAAGTAAGTAAATAGGGTGCTCTTTTTTCCATGAACAAGAATTTCTCACGACTCAAAACAAGGAGTCTCCTAAAGCCCGTGGTTGGTAGTGGTAGCCTACTATAGTTACTATTAAACACTGACTAGTAGTAAATGTTTCCGGCGCAGACGGATGAAGATGACTCTATTCGAGACTTTAAAGTGCCTATACACGCTAGCCAAATCCAACGTATGTTAAAAATAGCTTTGAGTGCAATWGAGAAGAGTACAACTATGTCTTGCAGAGATTAAACTGTTTACATGAACCATCATAGTCTTCTCGATCGAAAATGAAAATGCGTGCGTCCCGGACTACGTCATCATTGTCGTCACCAAACCYCCCAAAGAAAGCTCAGCTTTTTCGGAGCTTTTTTAGCACAGGATTCCCAGACGAAGCCTATAATACAATTTCAAACCGCAGTAAAATCAGGAATCTAAACCTCAAAACAAACACACCTCGAAAACTTTTAAAAAATATATAATTATATAAATTGTGTTATCATTTTAAAACAAAGACGCATTAGGCATAATTCAGCTACAATTTTTTTTATGAATACCCTCGATTTAACCAGTTCATTGTTTGAATTAATGCAGACAATCTATGAACGGGTGAAAATCACCAGAATTTTCAAAAACAAAATTCAGTGACACTTGAAATGGGAAATCTTTTGTACTGTTTAACCATAATATACTCCGATTTCGAGTTCTGGTTTGCTCTGTGTTAGCCTCAAAACCAAGCAACATATGTTATTTTCCACTAGTGAATGAATAACACATCCGAGGGTTCTCTATATAGTGGAATTAAGAAAAAAAGGTATTTTACGACATAGTTTACTTTCATATCAATCTCACTTGTGGGAAATCTTTTCAACTCTATAACCCTTATCTCCGCACGCGCATGATGTAATATCCTGTATTTCAATAACTTTTAATATGACCACTTYCTTTAACTCTTCTCTTTGCTTCAGTAATTGTTTAGTAATTGTAGCAGCTGAAAGTTAGTCCTAGGTAGTACTATRGTTTTATTTTGTTTCAAGAGGTTTATTGTCATAAWTGACGCGTGTGCACATCCGGGAAATAGTTTTGCATTTGAACGACTAAGGCGAGTTTGTCATTGGATGGTGAATGCTTCACTGTTGGTTTCAGTTTTGACTTAACGACGATWAAAACCCGCTAAGCTTATCTATACAGAATTTTCCCGGTATTTCAGAGAGCAACATTTATCGGAAGTTCAAGAATCAAGGTAAAAAATATGTAACTTAAGATATTTTTGTACAGTTTTCTGTGGTGTGGTGGTGTGAAGTTCGAGCATCGATCTGTTGCCGCGTTTAGACTATTTTTGCTGAGAGGTTTTCAGTTTACTTGCTCAAATCAATTGACATTTACAAATTATGATAACTTCGTCCAAMGGAACAAAATTTACCGAATTCGATGAATTTAGAGTACTAATTTCTCATAAACATTACTCTTTCTTAAGCTAAATATATAAATATGTTTATAAGAATATTTTCTTTACATGTCAACAAACATTGACATTAAAACAAATATCTAGTTGTCTCTAGACGTTTCGATCAGAATAAAAAACTAAGCTAGAGACAACTAGATGACTAGACATTTGTTTTTAAAATCATGAATCCTAACTGCAACAATCACATTTTTAAACATTGACATGCTTCAGTAATAGTGTCCTTCACGGAGTTCCCTGCGCCATCTTGAAAGGTAGCCGTGCCTTTGCATCGAAGCGAGACAACCGTTGAGCGTGCAATGATAGAAACCTTCTTTCACACCT